TTTTTTGTTAAATAAACAAAATCACTGGTAAAAAACACACCTTAGTATCGATATTTTTTTATTTGAGTATTGATACTTTCGATACTCGCATCAGTATCGATACGCCCATCCCTAGCTAAAGGATGCAGGCTTGCCTTCCAGTGGCTTTGTCATACCCATAGACTGTATACCGCTAATCCTGTTCTGCATTCACACAAGCACATTACCGGTAATTCACTGGTAATGTTACAACTTCTCATACCGGTAAATTGCCCGAACGAATTTACCAGTATTTCTGAAAAGGTCCTATTGACAAATTATCTCTTAACAGTAATTTACCGGTAATTTACCAGTAAAGACTGTATGTGTGAAAGGGGCTAAAGAGAGCCATTTAACTACAACAGCCACACAAGATGTTGTTGTTTGAATACATTGTCAGAAGTGAGTGAATGCTCTCTGTGATTGATTGGTTCTGTCTTGCATCATTTGCGTGTGTTCAGAAGAGCAGGAAAATAGTTCTATCCTACACAATTATCCGCTAACATAGGTTATTCGTCAAATTCAATGCATATTGTACGCATTCAATTTTTTGTTAAATAAACAAAATCACTGGTAAAAAACACACCTTAGTATCGATATTTTTTTATTTGAGTATTGATACTTTCGATACTCGCATCAGTATCGATACATCGATACTTCAGGATCGATATGCCCATCCCTAGTGCTGGAGCAGCGCGTGCGAATCAGAGGCGCCCAGTAAATGAAGATGATACAATCCCACGAAGTTATGATTTCTGTTATCACTCTATGCTTAACCCTGACTTAATATTATAATTTAAAATGTGTTTTGATTGATCTAATTTCTGTATTTTAATAAATGCTGCATTAAACGAATTTCAGTGCTCTGTATAGGTCATTACATAAAAAACATCTGCAACGTTTTCATTGGAAAGATAGTTTTACTGGGTTATAATTATAATATATAATATTATAATTATAATATATTCTGTATAAGTTATTTTCAGGTTATTTTGAAAATAACCACCCTGCAACGTTCTAGGAACGTTATTTTATGGTTGCAAAAAATAACCTAAAAATAACCATTAGGGAATGTTCTCTGTAAGTTATTTTTAGGTTATTTAATAATAACCACCATGCAACGTTCCGATAAATTGCCCGAACGAATTTACCAGTATTTCTGAAAAGGTCCTATTGACAAATTATCTCTTAACAGTAATTTACCGGTAATTTACCAGTAAAGACTGTATGTGTGAAAGGGGCTAAAGAGAGCCATTTAACTACAACAGCCACACAAGATGTTGTAGATGAATGCTGTACCTACCGTCATTCTAGAGGCCAAGTTCAACTCTGATCGTTTGTCCAGCAACCTGTAGATCTCCCCAAGCTGGAAGAGAGCTTCAGTCAGGGGAGCCGTTTCGGTCTCATTTCTGATGTAGTCCATTAGATTTAAGACCTGTCTGAAAGACACCTTGCCCGAACTGGAGGAAAGATGAAGCGTACATTCTTTATTTTCACTTATTTACTGAAAAATATACACTACTGTTCAAAACGCTGGGGTCAGTAAGACTTTTTAAAAAAGAAATTAACACTTTTATTCAGCCAAGGATGCATTAGATTTTTTTTTATGTTAAACTTGCTATTCATTAAAGAATCATGAAAAAAATTATCATTGTTTCCACAAAAATATTAAGCAGCACAACTGCTTTCAACATTGATAATAGTAAGAGAGGTTATTTAAACGCCAAATCATCATATTAAAATGATTTCTGAAGGACCATGTGACACTAAAGACTGGAGTAACGGCTGCCAAAAATTCAGCTTTACGTCACAGGAATAAATTACTTTTTAACATATATTAGAAAAGAAAACAGTCATTTTTAATTGTAATAATATTTCACAGTATTACTGTATTTTTGATCAAATAAATGCAGCCTTGGTGAGCACAAGAAAAAAAATATTACTGACAGCAAACTTTTGAACGGTAGTGTATCTTAAAAAGAGAAAAAATAAAAAAGGACTTCATTTAATGCAGAATTCTGCATGCTGGTTTTGATGGGTATTACAGTATTATGATATTACTGAAATGTTCTTGAAAACATACTACACCCACACCAATCAATTTTGACGCAATCATTTCTGGTGATTTTCCCAGTTGTTTATGATGGGATAATGAAATTTATATTTAAATTATTGTAAAAATAATTTGCAAAACAAAGAGCAAAAGATAATTTTTTCTAATAAGATATTTTAATCTGAACCACAATCATAATTAATCAAATGTTATTTCCAGGTTTTCCATGACTGTGGGAATCCTGCACCATCAGTTCTTGAAAGTCTTGTCTAATAACTTCCATTAAATGCAGATCTACCTAGAGAGAGCAAAGATGTTATTGATGAGAGCTGCTCGGTCTTTACAGGAGAGGACATTCACATCCCCCTTCAAAGCATCAATCAAGTTCTTCCATCCCTCCTCATCATAATGCACTATGTAGAAGCCATCACTCCTGAAGTTGAACTTCAGCCACTTCACCTGATCTGGAAGATTTAACGTGGCTGGAAAAGATTTAAAGCAACAAACAATATATTACTGAGTATTTCCAGTAGTTGGAAACATCTGTCTATGCCAGTACACTCAGTCCTGGGGACAATCCTCACCTGTTTTGTCCTTGAGATGGAACACTTGCTTGCAGGAGCTGAGAAAACTACAGCTGTCATTTACATACGTCAGGGGAATATGCCACAAGCTGCTATGGGTAACACAAAAGTGGATCAATCAACATTCCACATCAAGAGAGGCAGAGTTCACATACAGCTTGCTTTTTCAATAGATCAATATTGGACTTTGACTCTAATCAATATAAGAGTCCTTGTTTAAAACGTTGTTTGCACCTTAAAACAAACAAGACTATTCTTTCCCATGACACACACTACAGTTTAAAAGTTTGGGGTTGGTAAGATTTTTTAAAATGTTTTTGAAATGATCTTATGCTCACCAAGGCTGCATTTATTTGATCAAAAATACATTAGAAACAGTAATATTATGAAATATTAGAATTTTTAACTTTTTTTTTTTAAATAACTTAAAGTAGATTTTTTTTTTCAATTTTTTATTCCTATGATGGCAAAGCTGAATTTTCAGCATCATTACTCCAGTCTTCAGTGTCACATGATCCTTCAGAAATCATTGTAATATGCTGATCTGGTGCTCAAGAAACACTTATTATTATCAGTGTTGAAACAGCTGCTTAAAGCGATGATTCATCCAAAACTATGTTAATTTACTCACCCTCAGGCTTTCCAAGAAGTATGTGACTCTTTTTTTTTTTCAGTAGAACATTAGAATATTTTTAGCCGAAACCATAGTCCTTGGTTATTCATAAAATACAAGTCAACAGCTACCAGCACTTGAGAGTCAAAAAAAGCATATAGAGGCAACACAAAATTAATACCTGTGGCTCCTGATGATATATTGCAGTCTGTGCAAGAAAATAAACATAATTTTCAACATTATTACCTCAACATATTGTCAGGAGCCACAGGTATTATTTTTGTCTTGTCTGTATATGCTTTTTTGATTCTCAAAGTGCCGATAGCCACTGACTTGCATTTTATGAAACACCAAGGACCATGATTTCAGCTAAAAATCTTCTTTACTGTTCTACCATCTTTGATGGCCTGAGGGTGAGTAAATTTACAGCAAATTTTAATTTTTGGGTGAACTATCCCTTTAATGTTTTTGTGGAAACTGGAATACATTTTTTAGGATTCTTTGATGAATAGTAAGAAACACTTTTGCTTAATGTATAAAAATATTAATAATACTAAAACAAATCTTACTGAGCCCAAACTTTTGAAAGCTAGTTTTAAAACAACTTTCACGGCCTACAGCCTCCTAATTCATGAGACATTTTTAGATCAATGTTCAGTTGCAGTAAAAGTCCTCTACCTGTCGTCCGTGCTGTTTTCAGCATTCAGAAGGAAATGTTCTTGTGTCAGTGTCGCTTGAGTGCCATTTCTCTTCACTGTGACCAGAGGAAAGCCCTTATGAACAGTCCAGGTGTTCATCATCTCAGATACACTTAAGTTTTGTTTGCTCACCTATGGAGAACATGGATGTCAGCGCACACTAATAAAACCATGGCTCAGATGTCAGCTCAGTTGCTTCATCATTATGTAAAAGTGCATTGTTTAATTTTGTAATTGATTTTATCATACTCAAAACAACTCTTTGTTTTGTTTTCGTAAATAATGAAATGCAATCACTATGCAGGCATCGTAAGTTCATCTCACTTAGAAAAGGTCTGACCTGGGAAAGACTGTTCCACAAGTCTTCACTTTCAGTGTTTGATAGGTTATACTTTTGTAAGTACTCAATCACTCCTTTTCGAAACTCCCCATCTGTGAGTGTTGCATTGAGCATCAGCAGTATTGAAGCCCCCTTGGATGAAAAGTCAGACCAAGAAACATGCTCAAGTTCTGAGTATAGCTATACGATCAATAACACTCAATGACAAATGATTACATTGCACCAGTTTTCAAAAAGACGGTTAATTAAAGCCACTTCACAAGCAACAGGTAATTTATGACTTACCTTCTCATAAGACACAGAGTCAAACATCTCTTCCACCTGCTCAGGTGTGCTCACCACAGTAGACACTGGGTGGGATGAGTTCAATGCATCTTTGGTCAGCGCTTTAAAGCGAACATTTAAGAATTCAATGTCCTGGAAATGAAAGACACATGATCAAATACAGACATTCTCAATGACACACATTCAAATAGGGTGTTCCCACCATAGGAGTCGATGGAATCGACTCTTCAACTCAATTTACTTTACATCAAAACAAGGTCGAGTAAAGTATACAAGATTGCAGTCATTATTACACACTAATGTATTCTTTTTTACCCAACATGAAGCCTTAGGGTGCTTTCACACCTGGCCCGTTGTTTCGGAACCTGGCGCGTTTCCCCCCTTAGCTCGGGTTGTTTGGGCATATGTGAACATGGCAATAACGCTCGGATCCACGCCAAAACAATCGGTCCGAGATCGCCTGAACGAGGTGGTCTCGGCTCGATTGAAAACGAACTCTGGAGCGGTTCGGTTGTAGTGAGAAAGCAGGCTATATCACAATGTATAATGGGTAATTACGTAAGTTCCTTGAAAAGCATTAGCTTTGTTGTTTTGCTAATACCTCAAAATGAACCTGTGAATGTCTGTGGGTGAGCACGTCTTCGCCATTCAAAATCAAAGCGCACTTTTTCATTTTATAATGCCTTATTGTTCTTCTTCCTAGTAGGTGCATTTTAAAAATGTTTTCCCCTATGAATTCTGGACTCCTGCTCAAAATGATAAATTAATATAACGACAGCTACAAAAAACCCAACAATAAGCCCGCGAAGCTGTTGTCGTTCCATCCTGACGGATGACAGCCCCGACAGCTAAGTGGAATTCCGGAAAATAAACCATGGAATTTTGACCAATGAGAGAACAGTTTACTCGCACGTGACTTGTATGAACAAATTTGGTCCATTTAGAAACTTTGCTGTATGAAAGCAAACCGCACCAAGAATAAAAAGCAACACTGTAATAATTATAATCCCTGTTTCGGAACAAAGCAATCGATCTACAGGTATGAAAGCACCCTAAATTATTTAGAACAACACATTTTTTTGCATGACTGTTCAAATTAGTAGCGTCATTTTACCAGCACTACCCAGTACAGCTGTACTACACCACTTTACAGCACAGTAGCGCTATTGCAAACAGGAACAAGTATACTACATAGAAATGTCATGTTGGCGTGTTAATTGAGCGGACTTTGCTTTTTCTTTGAGCACGAGCGGTACACGAGTGGAGTGTTCGCATGGGCTGTGAGCAACCCAATGGAACACACATTCATAGAGCGGAATGTTGAGCGGAGCGTCACACCACGCAGTGACAGCTAGAGGGAGAGTTAAACCTGCGCACTGAACACAGATTTTTCGCTGACAATTTTTCGGCCAAAATTTCAGTGCATCCCTAATACATGTAAAAATACTCTATTCAGAGTCCAGGACTCTTCTCAATTCCCCAACACTACATTCAAACAAAAAAAATGTACTGAAAGAAACAAACGGTAATTCTTAATTTAGACTAATACTTACTATATTAAGGTCTGGGAACACATTTTCAATCGACATGTACTGCATGTAGGTTGCAAATCCTTCATTCAGCCAAAGATCATTCCACCATCTCATAGTGACAAGATTTCCAAACCACTGAACAGAAAAACAACAGGACATGACATAATGAACACAGCATTTCCGACTAGCCTTTTCAACTGAACTGAAAGACATTAATAATATATAATAATATATAAAGACGTAGAATTTATAATATATGTTTTATGTCAATATCACTATTGTCATTCACTTCTCCCAAAAATTTGGAGTGAAAGCTTAAAGGGATAGTTCACTCAAACATGAACATTCGGTCATCATTTATTCACCCTCACATTGTTCCAAACCTGTATGAGTTGAACACAAAAGAGGATACTTTGAAGAATGCTGGTAACCAAACAGGTGCTGGTAGCCACTGACTTCAATATATATATTTTGTTCTGTACTATGGAAGTCAATGGCTACCAGCAACTGTTTGGTTACCAACATTTTTCAAAATATCTTCTTTTGTGTTCAACAGAAGAAATAAAGTTATACAGGTTTGGAACAACATGAGGGTGAGAAAATGCTTCATTTTTTGGTGAACTATGCCTTTAAGAAAAAAACTTGAAGTAGGTCAACATTGTAATCAAAGCTGGATGTAAACGATACTTAAATACACACACCCTGGTAAAGCAGCCACCAACTCAGATATTTCTATCGTGTTGTTAATAATTTAAACATGACTATTATTTCCCTGTCATGAGAATGTTGCTTTATTTATAAAGTGAATTACCTGGTGGGCAAGTTCATGAGCAATGACAGAGGTCACCAGTTGCTTGTCTATAGAGGAGGAATTACTCCCTACTAGCAAAGTCGTCTCACGGAATGTGATTAGTCCCCAGTTCTCCATGGCTCCGGCGAGGAAGTCAGGAATGGCCACTAGATCTATTGATTTTGAAAGGACATTCGGTCACATCATGTCACTAGAAATAAACACTTTTAGGTTTGTTATTTGTAAAGCAACATTAGCGTGTATGTCCAGCTATTCTAGAAATCTAATAATCCCTGTTTGAAGAGTTTCTTTAAGGAAAGGTGTCTCACCCAGCTTGCTTAACGGGTAATCGTTCTCAAAGAATGTATTGTAGAACTCCAACAGTTTACAAGCTGTGTCCAGAGCATACTGCACTTGATCCTTTTTGTCTGGAATGGCATACACAGACACCTGCACAACATTTGGAAAAAAAAAAAAAATACCATAATGCAATTTGTTTACATAATATTTGTAACACAAGACATTGATTTTGAGAAGAACACATACCATAGTTTTAGAGACATTATTACTGACACCGATGAATTCAGCCACAATAAATGCAACTAGGTAAGTGCTCATTTTAACACTTTTTTCAAATTCATCTTCTTGAAGTCCATTTTTTAAATCTGTGGTTTTGACCTAGAAAATAAAAAACATTGGACAATAAAATGACAAAACTTATATATTATAATCTGAGAACAAACTTGCATGACAATATTTGTAACTCATAAAAATATCAAAACTAAAATGAAAAAGTAAAAAAAACTGTTATAAAACAAACAGAAGCTGTAATAAGAATTATATATATAAACCAATTACATTTAAGAAAGTAATTAAATATTTTATAGATTAGTCTCTTAAATGAAAAAGACTAAAATAAAATAAAATAAATGTTACAAAACATGTATGACCTAACCAAACAGCAATGAAAATGTTTTATGTATTAGCCTCTTAATTAAAAGTGAAAAAAGCAGACCAATCAATCAATCAATCAATCAAAAATAACCACCTTGGGCATGTTTGAAAGGCTGATGTACTTGTGTTCTCTGGTCATCTTAATTGTAAAAGTTGATTTAAAAGCTGGCTCGTCAAAACAAGGGAAAGCCTTGCGAGCAGCCAAGGGCTCAAATTGAGTAGCGGCCAAAACTCTAGAAGAAAGATGGAGTGAATTAAAGGATGTGTCTGTTAGGCATAAAGATATAACTAAGTAGAAGTAACTGTCAATCAGTACACTGAAGCTGAATAGTTAATTCAAAATGTATCCCAACTGTTCAGAAGGTTACACAAAGGTTAATTGGGCTGCAAATACCTTTTTGTACCATTTGTGTCGACATATGAGCTGTTGTAGAAGCCATCATAGCTGTTGGAGAGCTTTGCTGTGTAGTTAATGTTCAAAACATACTGTCCCTTCTTAAGATCTTCTGGAAATTTGATGGCGATTTGCTGCCAAGGTTTGTACTCCAGGACGTGGACCTCTTTACCGTCAAAAGTGACCTTGCTTATGTTCATATCAGAACTGTGAAGGACAATATTCTTCGTTTCATGCAAGACTTGCACCAAGATGGATACACAGCCTTGGAAGGTCATGAGGGCCAGGTTGGGATGGAGTGAAATATTGTAATGCACAGGATGCACACTAGGCGGTAACCTCAACTCGGTCCATGGGAAAAGTTCACCACTTGTGGAAGTGGGATAGATGCTGTCCATGGTCGAATTGGTCTTCTGGCAGCCTTTTCTGGTGAAAGTGCAGCCTGGCAGGAAGTAGATGACCATAAACATGGAGGCCACCAGCACCAGGATGAGAACACCTACCACCGTTGTCTTAGTCGAAGGCTTCGAGCACGATCCAGAATGCTGCTGGCGGGTGTAGGATGAGGCAATGCTGCGCTGGTTGGAACTGCGATTCATGAAGGACATTCCAAGAAGACGGGCAGATGATTCGTAATCTTCCTCATCTTCATCCAGGTCGTTTTCTCCAAGGCCTCGGACTAACAGTCGCGAGCTGCGGGGTTCATAGACCACATCGTCCGAGTCGATGGGGTAGGATGGGGACTCCTTCGCCAAATCCACCACATCTGGCTCTTCCTCAAACATGCTGTTCTCAATCATGTTCCTGGGCAGTGGAGCTCTTTCTGTAGGTTACAGTGGAAACAGAAAATGGTGTGTGAATACAAAAGCACAGTTGTTGAAAGTGGCTTCCTGTTGACAAGAGTGCTACCATCTAAGATAACGGAGTGAGAACTTTTCTGAAAAGTTGAGTGATTTTGTAGTCAGCCTTCACAAGCGTTTAAACGATAGTGAAACTGAAGATGAAAGAAGCTACTTTCATGCATCTGCGCAGACAGACATTAAGCCTGTTCCAGTTAATACTTGCACCCATGACCACAGGCTGTCACCAATGTACAGCATAAACTATTTTATACTCAATTCAATGTGCCTCAACTATTGTCTGCATAAGATTTGTCAATACACTGGCAGAAAATAAAGTGTTTGCATTGCTCCTCTTTTACTTCCTTCTTCAACAGAGAATTAGACTAAATAAATTCAATAACAAATCAAGGCATTGCCAAAGTTAACAGTGATCAAATTACCATTTAACACATTGCTTGAAACCACATTGATATCCTACCTGCTGACCTGGGGTCAAACTCATGTCTGCTGCACAAATACTCTTGTTCTTTAAGTGACCTGAATTTCAACTTCGTTTTAACAAAATCACATGCCTCATTTACTGTTAGTGCAACACTTTCATTTAGTACTGTGCAGAGTTTGTAAATTCTTCAGCAAACACTAAGCAAACACTTGCTACAGTTCCTTTGTAAATCTCACAAAAACATGTCAAGGACACATTTTATAAGCCATTCATATATTTTGCATATGTGATTAAAAGTCAGCCTATTTTTTTAAGATGTTCTGCATTATGATATTATACTCATGTTAAGTTTGCAAGAAATGAAACTTGCGATCGTCTTTTCTTTCCAACTGTGATGTATATCTGAGTGAAACGACTTCTCTGGCAAGAAAAAAGTAGGGCAGGACTTTGTTTTGTCCATCGGCAATTAACCAGATCGTTGCTGTTGGCTAATTGCTGTGATCTCATGTGAGTGACAGGTTGCTGGAAGTGACAGATTATTGTCCCGCCCTTGTGCCGGTGTTGTGCCAAATTCGGCACCCCTGCCAGATTATGCACCCCTTCGTTGAAGTCGCTACCTGATTGCCTAATCCTAACCCTTCACCCACACCTACTCCTAAACCTACCAATACTAGGGGGTGCATAATCTGGCAGGGTGCACATTTCGGCACTACACCTGGCGCACACATCATCAGAAAATAGACGTTGTTTTTGCGAGAAGTTAAAGTTTTCAAATAACAATTAGGAGGGCACATTAAAAAAATAATGATGTAACTACACTGATAAATCATTTATAATTTGTCATTTTTATAATAGTAAATGCACTCCAATATTCAATAAAAAATAAGACTTGTCAATTTTGATTTCATGGTGACAAAGTACATTTGGTTCTCAAATTCTCATTACAATAATAATATGCATCCAAAGTAAAAGACTAATTTGAAACACAAACTACCTTGATGTTTAAATACTATACAATTGAATACTATCTTTTGCATGACAGTATTAAGAATGCGACATTTTGCTTCATGTTAATTAAATATATATATATATATATATATATATATATATTAGGAAATATGACCCAGATATGTTCTTGACATTGTCAGCCTAACTATTCAAACTTTCATTCAGAAAGTCAACAAAAACAAGTAGGTTAACGGAAGAAAGTTTTTTTTTTAGTCTGCCACTGACAGACAACTGTATTTCGTGACACTTAGATGGCTGAAGCTCTTAAATTACTTAAACTAGGAGACAAGTAAAGACAGTACTAAAAAGTGACCAGCTGGTCAGCGTGTCAAATTTACGCAAGACCATAAAAACACAAAGCAGCAAATGTCACCTTGCCAGGATTTGTGCAAAACATGACATTTGAGTATGATGCACACAGACTGACAGATGAGAAGTGATGACTTAAATGGAATATAAAGTCAAATGCAGATTGCTGACAGCAGAGCACTGTGACACATCACGTCAATGACAGTCACCAAAACAAATAAACCACTGATCTGATTTACTGACATTTCCACCCCCTCATAAACACTGATACATTTTTATTTAATCAGAGCTCCTGTCACGATCTACTGTGAACTTTGTGAAGTAGATGCACTGATGGCTATTTAAATGTTATTCATATGTGTCTTGTTAGCCTGCTTGAACTTTGCATACACGTTATCTTTCGTTCTAACCAACTCCATAACTAACTCTAAAATCATTGACACATAACCAGGACTATGATAAAAACAAGTTATCACACTACAAGAGAAGTACTTAAGGAGATTAAATTGCATTGTACATAAAAAAAAAGCGACGCGACTAGCGGTAGCATGTTAGCTGATAACTTTTTGCAGTGCACGACCTCGCGTACAAATAAAGAGTCCATATTAGCTGCAGCCTTACCGCTTTCAAACGTCTCCATGCTTAACGTAAATGTTTAATTGCAGGTTTGAAGTAAAAAGCAAATTCTGTTTCAGTTGAAAGTGCGGGTATTTAATCCTGGGAAGGCTGACGAGTCACACATTCATTCAACGCAGGAACGCATCAGATCAACTGGTGCTAGCTTAGCATCGTTAGCCTAATCTACAGCTTTCTCACTTCACCGCATTAAAATGATCGATCAGCGGTTTACTGCACACTGTTTATCGATATAACAGCGGACACGAGGTGAGTGGGGTAATCACTGCTGTCAAACAAGCAACCTGAGTTTTACTTCCCCCTTCAGCTGCCCCGTTTAAAGGGACAGTTCACCCAAAACTGGCCATTCTGACGTGCTGTTCTAAACCCGTATGAATTTAAAGGGGTCATATGATGCAATTTCAAGTTTTCCTTTCTCTTTGGAGTGTTACAAGCTCTTGGTGCATAAAGAAGATCTGTAAAGTTGTAAAGTTGCAAAGACTAAAGTCTCAAATCCAAAGAGATATTCTTTATAAAAGTTAAGACTGTCGAGTGTAATAAATGTTTTTTAAATGGATGGAAAATCCAAAAAAAATCTATCTATCTATCTATCTATCTATCTATCATCTGTGGACTGGAAGTTTCACCAGAGAAAGTCTACTTGGCAATACATTTCTTTCTGATTATTCTTATTCTGGTTTCCAAACATTGAGTCTAATATCTCCTTTTGCGTTTCACAGAAGACAGAAACTGAAACGGGTTTGGAACGCGTAAATAATGACAGAATTTCCATTTTAGGTGAACTGTCCCTTTAAGACGCCGCTGCTTCTGCCCTCCCAGAGAAATAGCCTACAGCAACTGAACTTGCTGCATGCCTGGCATATTGATTATTTTATCATTAAAGACAACATCGCATATACAATCACATAGACACATGTAGATCTTTTAATTCAAAATGTACAAAGGTCTGATTAAAAAAACTGATTAAAATAGCACCAAATCTAAATATATATGAAAAACAATCAAGAGGTCATAAAAAGATTAATGCATAGCCTACCAATAGCTCCATATTCCTGCTGATTTAAATGATTTGCCGATTCCATGCGCTAAGACTGACTGACATGCTCAACAAGAACAACTGTAATAGCGTCACTGTTCAGCAATTTGGACAATCACATGCAAACAATTTGACTCTGTGAAAACACACTACAATAGGCTGGTGTATTCTCAAGAGCTTGCAGTGTGCAGCACATTCGGGCACCAGTGGAACCGTTATAAAAAGTCAGGTCATTGTACTCTTAAGTACAGCGGATTACTGTTTATTTTAGAAGACTATGCAGTGGAAACAGTAGTAGTAGAAAAAAGTAGGAGCTACAATACCGGACGGATAAACCACCATATCACCAGATTAATAAATATGTATCAAAATAATTACATGTATTTTGGACATCTTTGTTTGCTACGCGTTTTATTTCATATTAATTTATTTTTTTACAATTTACCACTGAGCACTGGCTTAATGCAGTTGATATAATTCAGGCATACAGCTCTTTTTCAAAGTTGAAGTACTCTGGGAATGAAAGAGAAAATGTAATTCGATGAAAAATATCTAAATACTCTTGAGTGCTTGAGTGAATTGTGAACTGAAGCAAAGCAATACTGCCTCCTAGCGACAGTAGAAGTCTAACACACGTTTAGACCTACTTAAGGGATAGTTCACCTTCAGGTGCTGGTTCCCATTGACTTGAATTGTGTGTTTTTTTTCCCATACTATGGAAGTCAATGGGGACCAGCAACTGAAGGTAAACTATCCCTTTAGCTTTCTAAATGGAGACATTCCTTAGCTCAGTTCTGGCTACAAATTTGTCCCCAAAATATGGTTAAGCAGGCATACACATGATCATCACCATACCCTCTTTAGCAAGGGAAAGATAGTGGTTTATGATGGTTGAATTTCTTTTTCGGTCTATTAATGTCTGCATATAACTTGTGATATTTAACCAATGTTAAACAGTCTTTTGAGCATGACACAAAGAAAGGTGATCTGAATTAAACCCAATGAAGCTTAGCGATGCATGTTCTGCGGGTAGGTGAATGATGCTAAACTGTTTTGAATCGGTTCCAAATTACTCAGTAGTTTATATATTTTATCTAATCATTCTTGCTGATACTTTGCAGTAACAAACAAGCTAGTGAAGGTCAAGGTGATAAATGTCCAAAATGTGATATCAGTAAATGAAAACTAAAAGTAATGTCCTTTTAACAAAAGTTCAAATTTCACGTTTATACTACATTTTAATCCATTTTCTGTCATTGTCATGTTTCATAAGACACATTTTAGTTTTTAGGCTAGACTCAGTTGCATCCTCCCTTATACAAAACATTTTATTTATTTTTATTCCAAACCTTATTTAGTTAGTTCATTAATGTTCAGCATCTTCAAGTATGATTTTGTGCCACCAATTAATAGTCAGAGTCCTATCAACATTAGTTAGAAAATGTGGCACAGCTGTCAAGAGACCAATCAGAGGCAAAGAAAAACACCAATACAAAGCAATTAGAGGTTTGAAACGGCATAGCTGTTTATAAACCTCTTTATCCAAGTAAACCAAAAAAAGCAAACACATCATGCATTACAGTATATGAGCTGTTACCCAAAATAATTAAAACACTAAAAAATACCAACAGTAGAAAACTTGAAAAGTCAAATGGAGTTTCGGAGCTGATCCTGATACTGATTAATAAACCAAAAACCATTATACTAGTAAAAACTAGTATAATGCTTGGCTGAAATGTTGGTCTTCTTTTTACATTTTAGTTGAGTCTTTGCTGCAACCAAGTCCTCATGGTCTCTAGATTCCTCGAGAGCCACATAATGTTCTTCTCCACGTTTTCTGTGGCCACCTGTATGACACGCAGCTGAGATACCTGCTCTGTGATGGACTTAAAGAAATCCTCAACCTTAACACAAAAAGAACAAAAAGCAATGCCGTAAATGAACCATCAAAACAGATGCTCATTCCCTCTAAACAACAAATGAACAACCCACCTCTCTCAACTCCTCTGTGGATGAGAACTGAGTCACAGTGCCAACAATTATATTTCTGATTCCAAAAGATCCCAGCGGAAACCTTTGATAATGAGACATAAGCATGTTATATTCACGGTAATAAACATATCACAGCTAGTGTTATATTACACCTTTCTAACATAAATAAAAAGCAATGGATTGCACCTACTTTTCTACTAGTTCATTCCAATGTTTCTTCACAAAATCCCATGCTAGAAAATGACCCACTGGATTTCTGGCAACCATATATATGAGACTGGGTACATTTTGTGTTTTTATTAAAGTTCCATCCATTCCAAGCTGTAATAATCTACAGGAAAGATGGAGACATACAAGGCATTGCATAATGTTAACCTCATTAAGATTTACATTTGCATTCATGTGTTCCAACCCCCAGTAAATAAAGCCCGAAATCAAGCATTGCATTTATTTAGCAATTCTGCATTTCATTTTCTATCTGTGTATTTTATATATAACAATAGGATTTTATAAAGTTCTTGAAATAAGTCTCTTATGCTCACAGAGGCTGCATTTATTTGATCAAAATTACAGTAAAACAGTAATATTGTGAAATATCATTACAATTTGAAATATTATTACAATTTATTCCTGATTTCAAAGCTGAATTTTCAGCAGCCATTACTCGTGATCCTTCAGAAATCATTCTAATATGCAGAGTTGCTGCTCAAACATTTCTTATTATTATCAGTTGTGCCTCTTAAGATTTTTGTGATGATTTTTTAATAAAGTTCAAAAGAACAGCATTTTGAAAAAATAGAAATCTAACATTGTAACATTATAGGGTGACCAGATTTCTCATGGTGGAATACGGGACGGGTGGGCAATATGACCAGGATATGAGAAGTTTTATTTCACGATATCTATCTATCTATCTATATATATATATATATATATATAAAATAACAAAGAAGCAAATTACAAACCCTAAGACAAATAAGATGGAGATACAGATTAAATGACCTCGTTTTTCAAATACAGTTTGTTTAACATGTATACTTTTATTTAACTTTTTAAATTTTTTTTATTAACATTAATGACAGACTTGTGTTTAATTAGGCTGCTGTCCCTTTAAAACCGAATGCACGGATTGTAATTATAGCGCCTGTATACACCTGTTTATTTCATGCGTTTTCGCTTATCGGATATCTATCTGATATTGACACATATCCGATTTTCACCCACCTGTTTATGTTCACTTAAAGGGATAGTTCACCCAAAAATGAAAATGTGATGTTTATCTGCTTACCCCCAGGGCATCCCAGATGTAGGTGATTTGTTTCTTCAGTAGAACACAAACGGAGATATTTAAGTCAAACCGTTGCAGTCTGTCAGTCCTATAATGTCAGTGGATGGGAATCACGGCTTTGAGAGTCATAAAACATAAATCATAAAACATAAACACACACAAAAACCTGTCACAAAACCCTGCGGCTCGTGATGATACATTGATGTGAAAAGACACAAAACGATTGGTCTGTGCAAAAAACAGTATTTGTATCGTTTTTTTACCTCTGATTTTCACCGCAATGTCTGAACTGTCCTGAGCGCGTCTTCTTCTCAGAATGAGCAGACACTGTATTTAAGTGAGATACTTCACACGATGAACATATTGACAACTCAATTTGACAATTCAGGCACAAGGTGAACTGATCGCGCGCACTGTTTTATAGAAGTGGGATCGCACGCGCGCGGCCGAGAGAGCGCTTCTGGGGTGTCATTTAGCTCAAGTTAACTGCAAGATAATTGATAACGAATTGTGATTAGTGATGTTCGGTTCTTGAACGATTCGTTCTTTTGAGCCGGTTCTCAGGAAGTAACCGGTTGAGCCGGTTCACAAATAGAACTGAATCGAACTTTAGTTCTGGGTTGATGACGCAGGACGCACAGCCGAAGTAGCACGTCCAACTCAAAAAGAACCGAATGAGCCGGTTCAACCAACTGTCGAAGTTTGCCGAGGATTACCGACTCAACAAGAACCGAATGAGCCGTGGCGAAGTTTGCCGAGGATTACCGAAGATTCTGATGAGTGAGTTGACTTATGCGAAATCAAGGAGTTTATAAGACTGGTTTATTCATTCTTTATACTGTAGACATGTAGAACATATCCGCGTTTGTGCATCAATGTCTGTAATGTGTGCTGTACATGTGAAACTTTTAGGAATCTTATCCAAGTTGTAGGCTAGTCAATATTGGTCAGTCAGTCAGTCGAGGATCCGCGAATGAAACTGTGACCACAAACACCACTAAAAGTGAATTATATTGGCAATAATCAGCAATATGCTTTCACACAAATAACTTTATTTTTGAATGTTTCCATATGTGTTGACACAAATGACTTCTTTGAATTTTTAATTGATACAACATGGCACTGCGTAGATACGTTATTGCTTGATGACGTCAGGAACCGATGAATCGGCCTTTTGAACCGGTTCAATGAGCCGATCTGTTCGAAAAGAACCGGTTCGCAGAAATGAATCGGACTTTTCATCACTAATTGTGATTGGATGGTAATTTTATTGTACGACGAGCGTGGTTACCTTTAATTAGGCTGTTTTGGCGTAGCAGAACACTACTCGCTCTGAACACCCAGTCTTAAAGACATTTTGAAATACGGGACAAAACATGATTTTTTTCAAAATAAGTCGGGACACTAAAAATAGAGCTGAAATATGGGACTGTCCCGGGAAAAACGGGACGTCTGGTCACCCTATAAAGTCCGTGTAAAGCAATATTAAATAGAGCTTGAGTTAGAGTTTAACACACCACAGAAAATTTTTACTAACCACCCAGCCAAATCTGAATGATAAAAAAACGGCAAGTAAATAAAATAAGTTATCAAAATCTTGAAAAAATAAGCAGTCTTCTCTGCTCTCAAACTCTGGGGGCGTCCACTGTTGGCGCGGAAACCACGCCCACTCACGGGAAACCTGGCGTCAGTTACTGCGGATTACTGAAGTTTGTAAAACTATCCGGTGTAAAATGTTCACTGCAGAGGCGGCTGTTGGTGGTGATCCTCATCTCTCCATCAAGGTCCATCTTCACAAAATTAATCCACCTCTTCTTGATATAATTGTTTTTAGGAAATGTAAATAAGGAGACCGAGCTGTTTTGTAAATGATCGCAACCAGGTAATATGCATTTCCGTGACAAAGGCATAGCTAGCTAGCAAACTGTAGGCTGTAGTAACTAACGGTAATGACAAAACCTCGCGATTGGGCAGGCAAACCACAGATGCTAATGCGCTCTAGTTATTATAGTGTTAGGGGAGGGGTCATGATCAGTGGCTCCAGTGAGTCATCGAGACATGTTTTCATTCCGTCCAAAAAATCCTGAACACAAAAATGGTGAAAAACTGTTTAACCCCTTAGCATTCCTGTAAAATTTGCCTAAAACCCTGTTCTTGAACCATTTGGAGTATATGCATGGTTTTGGTCTCTTTTGAAAGGTGACACTCTCAGGTTTGTTCCTAAACAGAACAAACCTCAAAATCACTGTAAGTCTTACCGGTACTGAGTAACAGACTTTGAACGCACTGTAAAAGGAAAAAAAAAACATTCCGCCTACATTTTTCTGTAAACATGCCTGCAGATGACTATAGCTGTGAGCTATTAGCTGGAAAACACAATGGGATCACAGCATGAAGCCTTGTTGGCAGTTTGACAAAGACATTCGAATCACAAGAATCTCAGCTTTCCAAATATATGTGACATGTTTAGCTATTTTTTTTTTTTTGAGTTGTAAGTCACAAAGTTAACCCTCAAAAACACGCAGTGTACTGCGGGCGGTACAGTGGAACACTAACAGGTTAACGGTTTAACTCCACAATACTACATAGTTCAGAATCTTTGTAACGTGTTTTCAGCAATACATTTCTAACATTTATAATGTGTTTAGAAAGAATTCTCTGAATTGCCTTTACACGGACTTTAATGTCACCTTTGATCAATTTAATGCAATGTCGCTGAATAAACAATAATTTCTTTCAGAAACATCTTACTGACCCCAAACTGTTGTATAATTACGCTACATATGACTTTCAATGTGTTGCTAACAATGTACCTTGATAGTTTTTCAGAGTCCTTGCTGCTTGCTAAAGCTGAGAGAAATTTGCTTTTCTCTGTCTCACACATGGAGACACCATACTTTTCCAGAAGGAAGGCCCAACCGCTGTCATCCTGAGCTCCGACCATGTAAACCGTCTCAGACACATCAGTGGGTAAGCTATATAGTTTGTAAAGCACTAGTCAGCTATTAAGAAATCTACCGCCATAATCATTCAAAATTATGAAAATGTATATTGGAGGGTGTTATTGCAGAAATAAATACTGTGTTGCTAAGTCACCTGATTGTACCATTGGATTCCACCCAGCTATTATAGAGCTGCTTAGCCTTTTCCAAACAAGGTGGATAATCAAAATCACATGCAAGGGAAAGAACCTCTTCACGCAGTCTCCGGTCTGAGACCATCCCATCATCGCTCCATGACTGCTTGTCAATCACATCTCTGAAATACTGCAAGATGTAGGTCTGCAGGGGGAAAAAACCCAGACATAAAGTGGCTATACACACATACAAGACGAAATAAACTCAGAAAAGAAATCTCGGAAGATCTCATGTGAACTCAACGGGTGGGTCTGCAAGCTGCCTTACTGAAATGAAAGACTCTTTGATGGGTATGTGGAGGAATGAGGACAGTAAATTCGATTAGACTCCAGGAATCGTTTCTGTCATACCTTCAGATTATGAGTAACGTCAGCTATGTTTCTCTTGTCTATCAGCTTGTAGAATGACTGCAGATAGCCAAGCCCTTGCAGGAGAGGAACATTGTGGGTCTCAGACTTTAAGTAACCGATCAAATCTAAAGCTCTGTTTAGTGACAGTCGTCCTGCACTGTATAATACATAACAAAAAAGTAACATTACAAATGAGCTGATAGGATAATACAGTTATGCTCATTTTGCTAGTTAATACAGAATTTCCTGTTTTCCCAGTGTGCTAAGATATGCTTTATGATCTCAGATGCGTTCATGAGAGCAATGGCCTGCACATTAACTCACGTGACCAGCTGGAAGGTGTTATGAATGAGGCTGGCTCTGTCCTTAAAGCTCAGAGCAGTATGGTTTACTCTCAGCAGCTCCGTCAGGGCGTTCCAGCCTTCCTCATCATAATGGACAATATAATATCCATTCATGTCACTGTTGAGCTTCACCCAGTCAACTTCCTCATCCAGCGTCAACACATCTGGGTTTGAGAGATTGGTATATATACAGTAAAATGTATGAACAGTACATGTGTTGGTGAGACTGGGGCTAGTTGTCAGACGTCTTGTGCCAGTTAATATTCCCAGGAAGAAAGATATTTTTACACTATATTGGGTAGGCAGGGTTATTATTAAATAAAAATAAAACAAAAGTTATTAGAAACAGTTTGTTAATAGAAGATATTCAGTTAAAGCTGAAATAAAATAAAATATGAATAGTAGATGAAAAATTAACAAAAAAAATAGAATTGTTGCCTTGGCAACCACTAAATTTACTGACTGGAAAACTAAAACTGAAAAATGAATGAATGAATGAATGAACCTAAATAGAAATATTAATAAAAGCACATAACAACATTACAAAAAAAAACATTATATATGTATGTATATATATATATATATATATATATATATATATATAT